AAAAAAAAAAAAAAAAAAATCAGAGGCAAGAAATAGGCAATACAGTAATAGAATTTTGATTCATATTTGATCAGCACTGTCTAGTTTGGCAGTGTGACCAAAGTTCACGGAGAGATTGACATGACTGACTGCTCCGTTAGAGACTCCTCGGCTCTCACTGGTTGCTGCTGCCACGCCAGTCTGATTATTTTCACAGACTATCTGTCTCATGTACTTCTTTCAGAATATAGTGACAGTGTCAGCAACTATGAACAAAAGTTATTTCATATAAGTAGCCAAGTGTAGCTTTTAGTTAACAGTATTAACTTTGAAGCATCTTACAGTAATTTGCTGACCACCATCACTGGTTTTAAGTTTTTTTGTAAAATTGGAAGTTGGTGTGTGCGTGTGTTCTGAAGTAAAGGGGGTGAAGGAAAAAAGCCAAGGGCTCCTCTGTCTTGCAGTCAGTGTTATATCTCCAGTAGTGCAAGGCTTTTAAAATGAAACAGACAATGGACTGAGTCATTTTCTTCGCAAATAGGAAATTGGATTACAAAGATGCTGGAGCATCGACACTGATTTTCTAATTACAGGAAACAGGTAAACTGGGTAAGGCTATCTGTAATTGCACTGCTGCTAACATTAGCCTCAAATGGCTTGAATGGTGTCACTGTGGTGTGGTTTTTACCTCTTATGTTTCTTCTACCTTCTTCTTCTTAAAGCTTTAAATATTTTATAAAGTGCATTGCATCCTGTGAACCTGTCTTCCACTACATGTAGTCGAAGGAGCAGAGAGCAACCAAAACCAAACACAAGAGCAAAATGTGCGCACACAATCCATACTGTATCTCAGGGGTTAAGGTGAGGTGAAGACTGCCAAACGACTCTCGAGGCTGCTAAAATCTCCAAAGGCTGCGCTGTTTAAAGAAAGGAGGATAAGTATGCTGTTGTTCACCACTTCATCAAAATTACACTCTCCTTTAGTCTCAGTCATTGAAAACCACCAACAAGACAAAGAGCGCAAGAGGTGGATCTAAGTGCCACTCTGTAGTTAGGAGAGGATAACAGAATAATTGGAGTGCAGTGTTTGAAACGTTTTTAGGATCAACATGAATGGCAAACAAAATAAGAAACAGAGTAAACTATTGACTCAAAAGAGCGGCAGTGTGACGGAGGATCCACTGCAAACAAAGATGGAGAAAAGCACCAAAGCCAGACTTCACCTGTCTGACTTCAATAAGAGAATTCAAAATCACACGTTAACATCGTAGAGGGAATGAATATTGACTTGATTCCGTGCATGTCACTCTACATGCAGAGGATGGTGCGAGTTTGAGTGGGCTAAATCACAGTTTCACACGGATAGCAAGTAGCGCTGCTGCTGCCTGCAACAATGAGTCATGACAGCACTTCAATCTGCCTCGTATTAATAACAGCATTTCTTACCAGCCACAGTTCTCCACAGAGGAACTCATAACAACCTGTCTGCTACAGTGCCCTTAGAATTTAGGGTACTGGTGCTCAGTTTTGACAGTGTAAACAGCAGCGAGTTCGCTTGGCACCAGTCACATGATAGCAGTCTGCATAGATGCCAACAATTGATGTTCTTGAAAGGTGGGTCAGCACAGCATATACATCACTCTACCTATTAGCTCTACACAGTCTCCAGTTCCTTACTCATCCTGTTTTATGTGCATCTACCTTCAGCTAAATCTATACTTTGATGCATTTGAGGCTGACAACAATGTTAACAACGATTATTATGGATCTGACTCTGGTGTATCTATAAGCTCAGTTACAGTAACATGAAGCAGAACATACAATGAATAGAGAAAATACCAGCAAAGCCCCAGCAGTACCTGATGACCAACACTGATTTGCAGGTGGATTGAAGATTTTCGAATATGGAAAAAAAAAAAGTGATGAACAACGTGTTTACATTCAATAAAGCATGGATCACACAAATAAGGCATTAGGAAAATATTACATATGGAAAATGATCACTGTTTGGATTGGGCCAGACTGTGTGGCTCCCAAAATAACTGACTCTGGCTAAAGTGGCTACAATCCAAATATCAGTGAGGACCACTGCCTCGGGGCATTGAAACCGTATCACATGTGACCGGACTGCAGAACCTACAAATACCTCATTAAGCTAATTGCAGAGCTAATTTCCATTAAATGCCTCTTGATGTCCAGCTGAACACAGTTGAACTGTCTGGCTCAAACGCTGAGCAGAAAGGCAAAGAAAGAAACAATATAATTACAAAGAAAATTGTTATGATTTCTTCAAAACATCTCACGTCTTACAACAATGAGAGCTGAAGCATGGGCAGACATTAAAGCTCTACCTTGAGAATGTCATACTGATAAACACAAAGTGTAAGAACAGCTTGATAGGTTGTTCATTCGGACACACTCTATACATAACCTCACACCACCACTGTGGATGAAACTGTACATCTGCGTTGACTGATATAGCAAGCAGCCATTCACTCATCCACATAAAGTGCTGGCCCAGGGACCCCTGGGGTCCCGCAGTGCCAGAGATAGAGAAGAGTGCAGCTCTGTGAATCTCTGGCTCGCCATCTCTCCTCCATCAAACATTAACCTTGGGAGGAATGCAATGAGTCAACTTGGGCCATAAAGGGACACAGGAAGCATTTAATTCCCGGCCTCACACTGCCTGCATTATTGGGCTGCTGGATAAGGGCCCCTTAGTCTGTCCGAGTAAGAGACATGTAGAATGGGGCATCCATCTAGAGCGCAGGGCTTTTCAGACACAGGAAAAGGAGGCAGAGGAGATAGGCTAATAGCTTAAGAGGAAAATAAACACCCGCCACTGGCTGAATCCTGGTAAACTAAGGTAGGAAAGTGAGTAGCAATACTTTCTGCTTTGGCTTAAAGTCAATCCTAGTTTGGGTGTCAATTTTCTACTCTTAATTAAATCAACAAAATGAGAGAAAGAGGCTTCCACAGTCCTACTTAATCACACTTTGAGACACTTTTAAGGAAAGAAACACATTAAAGTGTGCAAACAAACAGATATTCAAAGGATACAGTTAAGCTCTATTCAATTACGTTAAGTATTAAAAACAAATATAAATTTGATGTCCTGTTTCAGTGCCATTTAGGTTGAGTTAAGTTCGCCTGAGCACAAAACTCTTTTACTTTTTTATTTTTACAGCCCTTGCACTGGCACGAAATTGACAAAGTTAATGTGTAGATTATGTAAGCACACATTGTTGGCAGTGGATTACACACACAGCAGGAGTGTGAGGAAAACAGTTACATCAAACGTTGTATGTTCTTCTCCACTTTAAATCAATGAATGTATGATGACTATAAACAACATCCCCTCTATTTATAGTTAGAAAAGAGCTTCAAGTCTGAGATTTGTGAATTCCAGACATGTTTTCTTCCAGACATGATCTGCGTCATCGCCAAAGACATCCATAACACAATGAGGCCATTTAATCGAGACAGAGTGAACACTGTGAATAATCCAGTACATCTCAGCGGCAGCAAGACTGAGCTCACTCCATTTGTAGAAGAAATGCAGAGGAAACTCATACAACCTTAGGGCCTGCACACAAACAAAATGGTCACACATGCTGGCCCTCTGGCTGTGGTCAGAGCTGAAGAAGAGAAAGGGGCTGGTGTCAATCCCACATTTACAATGCAAACAACCTTCCTTTCAGCGAACACCAGGTTTACTCTCACAGTTGCTGCAAACGAATGAGCACCATGATGGCCGACCTGATTACTAGCCAAGTACATTCCACACATGCCATTACACTAGTAGCAAGAGAGAAAAAAAGGGCAGAAAAACAACTGAAGCAAGACAGAGGAGCTGGGGACTTCTGTGACGTGGCTACAGTGGTGTATTTCCTATTTGTTCATCGCCACAGATCAACTGAACCTTTTTGCTAGAGCTGCTGCAACTTCAAGTAAGTCAAATTGTGAACATTTATGGCCACTTACTATAAAGTTACCAATTCCACAAACATATGTCAGTCAGAAATTCTGATAAAGCATAATCATCACTTCAGAGATTACATTTAAACAGAAATACTAATCTTAAATGTCTCCCCTCTGTCTTCCCCTACAGTATGTTT